CCAATCACAACAGTCAGACGCATTTACGTGCGCGCGGTTTGTGAGAATAAAAGTGAATATTTTTCCAGACGCATTTAGCTGCTAGAAGTTAGTCAGATCACGTTTAAATGTTCTCCTTAATGCCAACTGTGTAAATAATCATCGATGAGATGCTTATGATAAGCCGTTGTTTGTTTACCTTCAAGCTTTGCGTGTGCCTGTGAAACAGCCTGTGAGCGCCTGCACACGCACATATTATGAACATCTCGACATGCGAAAGTGATCCTGCGAAAGTTGTTCACAATATTGATCATCCACAGAGTTTGTAATTTAGTCAAATGTTTACAAACACAAGCGCAGCCGTTTAAAGCTCATTTGTGGTGAATGATGTCAGAATTTACCGGTATTTTGGAATGGATGTGTGAACGCTCTTTTCCGGAAAATTTCCGTAACGTCCTCGCCTGTGTGAACAGCGCTTTTTTCAATATACCGGTAAAGTCGTTCCGGAAATTTTCCAGATATTTACCGGTATCACTGTGTGAAAGAGGCTATAAATAAAGCAGCGACAAATGCTTGCCCAGATAGTCATTCAGTGTGAAAACATCTGTGACACGTCAACTTTGAAAATCATGCAGTCTGAACCCAGCATAAAGGACCGCGCACACACACACATTGCAAAATGCGGAGGTTTTTGCTCTCCTTTTGGAGTGCGTTATTAAATTTCATAACACTCTCACAAGCCCTTACAAGCCATTACTCCTTATTTGCGTCTAATACCCCAGTTTGTCACGGGTGCATGAATGAAATGGTCATGAGTAAAAGTGAAACTGCCAAACTGCAGTTAGTCACCCAAAATCACAGGGAACTCTTACATGAAAGCACTTCACATAAACACCTTAATTATATTGTTGTCTATTAAGGCAAATAAGTAGATTACAGACGTCCAAGTAAGCGTAGTCAGTAGTGTCTTCGAAGTAAGTAAAAGATCCAGAAGGGCATCCTGATGATTTGATTCAGAACGGCACTTTTTATATCAGACGGCTCACAAGTCAGGTATATATGCGCGCTAAAATATCAAGGTGAAAGTCGTCATAGTTTGCGTTGAATAGTCCCAGCTCCCAACCCAACGTTGAGAATAGATTAACGTCGATATTTTTATCACGCGATAAGAGTCTGGTGTTTACACCGATAACGGCCCACCACTAGTTTACACACAGCTGTGTGGCTACAGTGTGTAAATATAACCAGCTTCTAATGATAAAATTGTATTACAGGGATTTTTTATAACACTTTGATTGACTTTCTTCCTTTGACGTGTAATTAGATGGGGAAAGCCCCGCCCACTAGTGACCATCTCTCCCTCATTAGCATAAGACGTTAATCATGTTTTTGAATCTGCCACTATGCTGACACACAGGCATTTGTAGCTCCACCCTATTTTGAAAAGAGCACAGTCTCATTTAAAGTGACAGTCACATTTAAGCACAATCAGGATCAACTCTTAAAAGGGTCAGTTTTAAGTAGGTATACAACATTAGTTGTGTTGTATTTTGAGCTGAAACTTCACACACATTCTAGGGAAAGGGGCATAATTGGTGCCTTTTAATGTAGGTCTCCTTTTTACGTAAACAGAAGGCAAATTTAATGAAAGTGTCTACTTTAAATCCTTTTGTGAGGTCAAAAATGTTAAAATGTGATTGAAATAATGTTGCATACTCATTCTGATCTAAAATTATTAAAAATATTTAAATGAATAAGTGATCAGTCTAGGTGTTGGTTATATTTAAACTGATAAAGCAGGATAGTATTAAAGTTTAAAGACTAAAAATGACAATTATTGAGTATATTTGGGCTGCACAGTGATCCTTTACATAGAGTCTGTTATCAGTATTATTTTAAATCAGATTCTGCACTCAAAGCAGTGGTGACATATTTGCACGAATCCAAAACTGCACAATCAAAGATCAGTTATCGTGTTTGTCTTTTGCGTATAGATGTGGACAAGAATAACAGCTCTGTCCTGCAACACGTCACGCTCCCCGGAGACGATACAGTAACACAACTGTAGCCGGAACAACATCCCCCTGGTCTGGTAACCGGTCGCCGTGGTTACGAGATTTGCATGCACTTCCCTTTTGATGTGATAAACTTGCAGTTAATTTGAATAGATCAAATCTGCGGAGGTAAAGAAAAAATAAGCGGTCGCACGGACTGCCATGCTGTTAGGATATTTAAGGAAAGAAGAGAATGTGGCGTTTGTGATGTATTAAAGATTAATGTTACTCAGTCAACATCTCTGAAACACATGCATGTAGAGCTGAGTGGTGATAGAAATATGGTAATATGCTATAAGGAATATTGCGAATTAAAAATATAGTTAGTATGAGTGGACAGAACTAATTGACTTGTTATTAAACAGCAGAATATAGACACTATTGTCTTACAGCAGAGATGCTTTACAGTTATTTCATATACTGTAGGATTTAACAGCATTAACACTTATTCATGAAATGTTTATTATTGTGAAGCTTCATTTTTTTGTATCAAGAGCTTTATAAACAAATGTGATGTGAAATACTAAAAGCAATATAAAAAAGTTAATCAAAACAAGTTTCAGCAACATCATAACTGTCCTAAATTAAATTATGCTTATATATTATATTATATTATATTATATTATATTATATTATATTATATTATATTATATTATATTATATTATATTATATTATATACATTATTTAACAATATTTTATATTATATTACAGTGTAGATATATGACATTATATAGTATTATTATATAATATCATATTATATTATATTTACATTATATTTATAATATATTATATTTTAATACATTGTATAACATATTTTCTATTGTCTCATATTATATGATATTATATTATATTAAGTTATATTTCATTATATTTATATTATATTATGAAATTTTATATAACATTATTTTATAATATATAACTTTAAATTTATATTATATAATATTATTATACTTTATTAGACAATTTTTTATATATATATATATATATATATATATATATATATATATATATATATATATATATATATATATATATATATTTATATTATATTATAATACATTATATAACATTATTTTATATTATATTACATTATATTTATAT